TCAAGAGATTCTTCTGCCTTAGCTTCCCAAGTAGCTGGGATTACAGGTGCAGGCCACCACACCCGGATAACTTTTGTATTTTCAGTAGAGATGGGGTTTCACCATGTTGGTCACGTTTGTCTTGAACTCCTGGCCTTAAGTGATCCACCCACCTTGGCTTCCCAAAGTGCTGGGATTACAGGCGTGAGCCACCTGCCTGGGCCGATGTCTTTGATTTTGGTAAGTTAAATCTCTTCTAGGTTGTTAAATAGTATGTTAAAGACCACTGTATTTGTGTTTCTGGCAATATCTCTTTGTACTGCCAACATTTTTCTTTTTTTCTGAGTGTTTAGGTTTTTTCTTTTTTTTTTTTTGAGACAGAGTCTCCTGAGGCAGGAGAATGGCGTAAACCCGGGAGGCGGAGTTTGCAGTGAGCCGAGATCCGGCCACTGCGCTCCAGCCTGGGCGACAGAGCGAGACTCTGTCTCACAAAAAAAAAAAAAAAAAAAAAAAAAAAAAGGGCTCATGGAGGAAAGTCTTCCTTACACAGATGAGCCAGAGAAAGGAACGATCAGCCCCTGGAATCTCAGTGCCAGCAAGCAATTCCTGTTAACAGCTTGGTGTGGCGCTTTCCAGCATAAATCCGCATAAAAAGGATGCCTTGGGGTACAAGTAATGGAGTTCCAAATTTCACACAACCCCATCCACCTCAGCGTTACTATGCCCCCGGCGGTCAGTTGGGGGCGCTCCCTCCCCTCTCCTGGGATTGCCAGGGCCGGGACTCACCCAGCCCTCCAGCCCGGCCAGCCCCTTGCTCCCCGCGGGAGCTGACCCGCGGCCCTGCAGCCGGCACTGGGGGGTGTCTAGGCCGCCTTGTACCCCACGCCTCGCCCAGCCCCGCCGGCTAGTCCCGAGAGGAGATGCCCTCGCTCGGGTCGCGCACCGGGTGGCGCCGAGATCCCCACCTCCTCCGCAGGCCCCCGGGATCCAGCGGATGCCACCCCCACCACACACACAGGGCTCACCCCACCCTCGACGGCCGAACGCGTTGTCCCCTGCACAGCTCAGGCGGGTTCCGCGAGGGGCTCTGGGTCGCACAGCGCCCCGGGACGCCCGCGCCTACCCGGCAGCTCCTGGCTGCCCGGCGACGAGGAGCCGCGGGGGGCAGTGGGAGCCCGAGGGGGTAAGCTTCGCCAGGGGTGAAGGCAGGGATTCCGTGCATTCCTGTGGGATTCGGTCGCACCGAGGAAAAACAAAGCCAAGGTGATTGGTGATAGGTCACAGGCCGCACGGCAAGGTCAGTCAATCCCAGCCCGGGCCGGTAGTTCCCAACCCGGGTGCTCGCCAGAGTTACCTGGGAGCGATTAAAAAAGTGCCTGGACTCGCGCCCCACCCACTCACTCGTTCGGATTCATTCTGTCTGGTTGCGATCTGGACTAGATATTTTCTCAAATCCCTGGGGGGCAAAAGCCTCTAAAAGGATTGAGCTCTAAGCTTTGGCTCACTTTGGAAGGGTCTATAGCGAGTATACAATGTATTCCAAGATTCAAGTTTTGTTTTAGAAATACAAGCAAAAATTGCATTCTGTTCGATAACGTATCTGTGTTCATTTTCACGTAAAGGCAATTGGTAAAAGGCAATTTTCAGAAAAAGATAAATTCATGACCCTTGTTCAGAAATAAAAAATGAGCATGTGTTAAAGATTTATTTTACTCATAAGAAGGGCAAGGCAGATGTTATAACTGGTTCAAAGGAGACATCAGAAAGCACAAATTTATATGGAGTGAAGGAATTGAATTGCAAACAGAGGCAAACTGGTTTTTCCACCATGGGGGTGTGGGGGGGTGTGTGTGGAAGAGAAGTCAATGGAAACTTCACCTGACAAGACAGTTTGCAAAGCCCTCCGTACCTGCAACTTAAAAAGAGGTGCAAAATAGCTCAAAGACCGTGAATGGGGCTGGAAGCAGACAGGTCCGGCTGTGCTTGAGATAATGTATAGTGTTTCATCTGAACAAAAAAGTTTTTCTTCACAATAGCTTAAATAACTATCTGGAAACATTTATTTCTTACAGCCCTAATAACTCTGGGCTCCCCCAAACACCACAAATTCAATCGCTCATTGGACATAACATTTTCCTCCTTTTAGACAGAAACAACAAACAGATTTATCACTAAGTTACTACTAAGTAAAAAGGAGGGGAGGCTGGAGGCTCTTGGGAGACAGTAGGGTATGGGGGTTAGGTGTGCAGGGCACAGAGTTCAAATTGTGCCTGTCACACAATAGCCGTGGGATCCTTCTCTTAGGGCCCTCCATTTTACTGGTTTACATGGTGTATAACAGGATTCCAGAAGCTTCCCCCTGCTCCTTCTCAGTTTAGGTGCACAGAATAAGTCACCTAGGAACAGGCTTTCTTTGTTAAGAGTAGGATTCTTTGAGTGGTCGCCTTTAGTTATGTAAATGTAGCTGAGTAGGCACCCATTACCCTGGGGGAAGAGTGGAACTGGACTTTTTGAGGCCTGACAAAAGCTGCCCCTTTTCAAGGCCCCTTGGAATGCAGAGCCGGTTGCAGGGGAGGAGGGAACCACTTTGCAAAGCCAGGGCCTTTGAGGAGGAAAGAGTTAAGGGACTAACTTAACTAAAATCTACTGTCTAAAAAGTTGCTTCACCAGGCCAGAGAGAACCTGAGTGAGTCTGTGGGATTCCCCCACAGACTGTGTAGCTGACTGGGAGCCACAGGACCCAGCACCCCGGCATGCTGCTGCTCTTTGGGGAAAGGTCGTTGAGCTTGTGAGGGTGATTGAGAGAAGGGTAACTTTTTTTGGAAGCATAGGCCCCACCACAGCCTGTGCAGTGAAGGTAGCCAAGCCTCAGAAGCCACAGGACTGTGCAGGCCCGCTGTTCCACAGCGCCACTGTGTGGAGAGAGAGGGAACAACTGGAGATGATTGCTCAGACTTTCCACAGAACCCTCTCTTTGGAGGAGGGAAACCCACGAGGTTCTTGGACAATTTGAGAGTGGGTTCCAAGAGGGTGATATTGGATTTTTCTGCCAATAATGATCCATGAGGGATTTGAGCAATCAATGAGAAAAATTAAAAAGTAACTGTATTTGTACCCTGAGTTAAAATCATATTGACTACACGTTAACTGTTTACCAGGGTGCCAGGCATATGAAATGTGCTCCATAAAATGTCAGTTGTTATTACCAGGAAACAAGACTAAATGCCTGATTTACAATGGGCCAGAGTGAGCCAGAGGGAGGGGCGGACGTGCCTCAAAACTGCCCTCTGCTCCCTCAGGCTGCCATGAACCCCTGTTCCTTGTCCCTCTGTGCTCAGGATAAAGTTAAAGTACTCCTGAACCTAGAAGACCTGAGAACCTGTCCTGCCTGCCTCCCAGCCTCCCACCCCTTCTCTCACCGCAGGTCCAGCCCCAAGAGGAGCTCCTTTCTGCTGCAGAATGCATCCACTCTGCTCCCAGCAGCCCTTGGTATACATGGTTCCCTCTGCCTGATCCTTCAGGGGCAGCTGAACCCATAACCGCCTCTGGGCCTCCACCTGGGCCTGGATCCTGTGACCCGTCCATCTCCGTTTTCTGGGTGTCCCTGGGCTGCCCTCTCCCATGCTGAACTGTGAGCCCCAATCCCTTCTCTACAGCCCAGAGCAGGACCTGGCTTCTGAGGGTGAGGAGGGATAAACAGGGCTGGCATCACAGTCGCAGGCCTCCCTCAGAAGCTTCTAGCACTTGGTTTAATGCTCAATGCTCTGCTGTGGCAATCTTAAATTCTTTTTTTTTTTTTTTTTTTTTGAGACAGTGTCTCGCTCTGTCACCCAGGCTGGAGTGCAGTGATGCGATCACAGCTCACTGTAGCTTTGACCTCCTGAGCTCAAGGGATCCTCCCACCTCAGTTTCCCAAGGCAATATCTGGCAACTTTGGCCCCAGACAGGTGTATGCCATGACTCTGAGGTCATTTTAAATTTTTTTGTACAAAAAAATTAGCCAGGCATGGTGGCGGGTGCCTGTAGTCCCAGCTACTCGGGAGGCTGAGGCAGGAGAATGGTGTGAACCTGGGAGGGGGAGTTTGTAGTGAGCTGAGATCACACCACTGCACTCCATCCTGGGTGACAGAGTGAGACTCCATCTCAAAAATAATAATAACAATAATAATTTTTTTCATAGAGGCAGGGGTCTCACTATGCTGCCCAGGCTGGTCCCAAATTCCTGGGCTCAAGCCATCCTCCCACCTCAGCCTCCCAAAGTGTTGCGATTACAGGCATGAGCCTGGCCTTTAAAATTCTTAATACCTTTTTAGAACCAGGGTCCTGTCATTTCATTTTGCACTGGGCTCTGCAAATTATGCAGCCAGCTGGCCAAGAGGGAACTGTGGGAAGACCTGGGCTGAGGGAGAAACAGCAGCAGCACTGTCCCCTTTTCCTTCCTGGGTATCTGAGCGCCCTGGGATTCCCCTGAGCTGGGTACAGGCAGGGAGCTGCTGGCTGGCTTGCTCACACTGCTGCCCGAGTGACTCTTCTCCTGGGGGCAGCTCCCTCCCCACCCTGGAGGTCAGCGGCTTGGGCCAAGGTCCCTGGCACACAGCCATAGGCTATTTCAGTGCTTTCAGGTTGACTGGAAGGGACATCAGGGAGCCCACCGGCCTCTGTACGGCCAACCTAATCCCACCCACTGAAATATTAGCTTCGGGGCCAACTCTGGCCTCACCCTCGGCAGGGACAGGAAGGTCTTGGCCCACGCTTTGGCCACAGCTCAGCTGTCCACCAGGGCACAGTCAAGGGCCGGGTGCATTGCTAGCTCCCAGGTTTTTCTGTTGCTGTACTCCCATGCCCACTTTAATCCTAGCACTCAGCCCCATCTAAATCCCTTCTAGAAGTCCTTGTGCACCCACCAGCCAAGAACAAGGAAAAAGCTGTGTCTTCAGAAATCTCTGGTAACCTTGGCCTCAGACAGGCTCTCTGATGGAGCTGGGAACAGGAAGTTTCACACCAAAAACAAAAACAAAAAAAACAAAAAAAAAAAGGTCCCATTTTATTGAGAAAATAGTGTCAATCCCTCCATCTTTCCTAGGTGACCCCCGCTGAGGTAGGAGGTGGCAACTTTCTGCACCCACCCCCACGGCTGATCCATCCCTTCACCGGGCAGATGCTGGTCTGCTAGGCCCTGGAGAAGCAGGGTGCGGTGGGGCAGGGCTCTGGAGGGGGCTGGGCTGTGAGGGGCCTGGGGGTGCTGAGGGCAGGCAGCTGGAATGAGGGAAGGGAAGGGAGGACACCACCCCCTCCTGAAGCCTGGAGCCTTCTCCCTCCAAATTCTTCATAAATAAAACTTCACAGTAATAGAGGAATGTCCACTTCCAGGGCCAAACCGGCTGCTTTCCAGCCAGGGAGCCAGGCCTGGGCTGGTGGGGGCTGCGGGAGGAACTCGCCTTGGGTGGGGGTCAGCAGCTCCGGGACTTCGGGGGGCCAGGAGCACTGCTCTTCTGCCCTGTGTCGGGGTAGGGTAGGACTGCAGCCCCAGGGAGGTTCTGAGGGGTGCTGAGGTAGTCAGAGCGGTCGCCCTTCCAGACCTTACAGGACACAGCCAGGAGCCGAGGCCCTGGAGCAGAGGCAGCCGTCTCCAGGCAGGCCTGGGGCTGCGGAGAGCCTGCTGGGCTCTCTCTCCCAGGAGACCAGGGTGTGGACTGCTGGGTGCCTGTGAGCCTGCGCAGGGTTGAGTTTCTCCTGCCAGGGCCACCTGGCCTCTGGGGAGACTGAGGCATTTCACAGAAGACTCTTCCCTGTGAAGACAAGGGGCGGTCACAGACCCATCAGGTCAGGCCTAGCCCAGGTACCTGAGCACAGGGTTGCTCCAGAGGTCACCAGGACCTCCCACTCCACGTCTGAGGGGGCCAGCAACGGACCCAGGTCAGGAGGGCTGCCAGGGCCTGGCACCTTGCTCCTCAGAGAGGGCCTCCGGACTGGGCAACTCCAACTGTTCCTGGGCCTCAGTTTCCTAGAATTATCCATACAGGGAGGTCACTTTCTGGCTACCTGCACCCCACCACACCCAGTGGCACGTAGGCCTCAACCCTCCACCTCCCCTTGGGTACCAAGGGCTAGGCCTGGGCACTGCGGCTCCAGCCCCAATACCATGGGGACTCAGGAGCACGTGCCCTGGCCTGTCCCAGTGGCCCGGCTGGGGTCAGAGCACCTGGAGCTTGCGGGAGCAGGTGAGATTGCTGTGCACCAGCCCCCACATGGCCAGCAGCTCAGGGGGCAGCAGCTTGTGCACCACGAGCATGGCGCGGAAAAAGCACGGCTCCTTGTTCATGCGGCTGTTGCGGTTGCGGGAGATGCCAAAAGTCTTGAAGCCCTCGTGGGCCATGGGCCGCACGCCCAGCACCTCCAGGCACATGCCCAGAAAGACATCGTCGATCGGGTAGAGCTCCAGGGTGTCGCAGGCATGGTGCAGGCGCCGGGCCAGGCTGCCGGCCATGAGGAAGCCACCACCACCTGCGTACGGGGGATAGCTGGCCTTGCTGTACAGGGCTCCGGGGATGTAGTATTTATTGTCTTTCCTGCGGATGGGCCGAGCGTGCTGCAGGACGTCGCCCACGAACAGGTTTTCCTGTGGCTGCCGGTCAGCCAGAAATTCTAGCAAGTTGGTGGGGTTGACGAAGACATCATCGTCGCCTTTGAAAATGAAGGGGACGTGGGGGCAGTAGATGTCCAGCCACTTGAGGAAGTGGATCTCCTTGAGGGTCAAGTTGAAGAAGGTGTCGAGAAAGTCCCACTGCAGGATGTCGCCGTAGAGGCGGTCTTCATAGGCCAGCAGCTGCTGGTAGTGCGTGCGCTCCTCCTGCTTGGAGGCCGTGCCCAGAAGGAAGAGGGTGCGCACGGCGCCTCGGCCCCTACCAGCGGACTCCCGCTCGCGGCCCCAGGTCTGGCGGATGGCCTCGCGGCGGTCGTGCTGCGTGATGACCGACTTGACAACCACCAGCAGGTAGACATCGCCCCCGCACTTCTCTGGGTGGTTCAGCAGCATGGGGAAGTAGCGGCAGTGGCGGTAGAAGAGAAACTGCCGGAACTGCGGCTCCAGGCCCTTGAACCAGGGCTGGCGGGTCAAGTTGATATTGGCTGAGCAGTTAGTGGTGGTCACGTCCCAAGCCTGGGGCCCCTGAGAGGCCATGGGTGTAGGCGCAGCCACATCTTGCAGGTTCTTCCAGAAGTTGTTGGGGTTCACCAGCTGTCCATTTGGTTTCTGGGCCTTCTGTGGCTCCAGGGTGGGTGGCAGAGGCTCCTGCAGAAACTGACGAGGGGTGAGACTGCGCTGGAACACTGTCAGGGCCACGAGCAGGCCCAGGGCCAGGCACAGACTCCGGTAGACGGTTTTCTTCCTGTGGGGGAGAGTGGACAGTACAGAGGAGAGAGAAAAGATGAGCCCAGGACTTTCCTGGCGCCCCCCTTGGAAAGCTGGGTGGTCCCAGATGGGCAAGTGGACCTGGGCACAGGCTCAGTCCCGGAGCCCCTAAGTGGTCAGGGGAGGGTCCCGCTTCCTCTCCCACCGTGCCCTCTCTCTCGCCCACCCTGCCCTCTCCTCAAGGAGCACTGAGTAGTTTACAACCTCTCTGGGCCACAATTTCTTCTTCCCCCAAATGGGGCTAAAACACAGGATTGGAGTGCTGTATAAAGCACCAGGAAGTGGGTGTGCGGTTGGGGGAATGCTGTCACCTTATCAGGAAGGTGGAAACCTCTGCCCTGTTCCCCACCCCTGGAACCCCAATGCCTTTCATTTCCCTGTGCAACCTCCACAGCAGTAGGTATCGGTATCATTAGATGACTCACAGCCAGAGTCATTGAGAGGGCACCCTCTGACCCTCTGTGCCGCCTGGGCGCTCCATCACATGTGGGGCACACTGGAGAGCAGCTTGAACTTAGGACCTGAGGAAGACCGGCCCTCCTCCCCCTTCTCCAGTCTGTCTCAGGCAACAAAGAGCAGCCCTCATGGTTGATGGAGGCCCAAGGATGCAGTGAGCACCTCTAGCATGGCACTGCCTCACCCCTACCTTAACATCCCCAGCTCATAACACCCCATTAGAAGACATGAGGCTCCAGCTCTACTCCCTGGGAGGGGACACATTTGCAGCCCCAGCCCTTGAGGGACCCTCCTTGCCCAGAGACCCCCGTCACACCCATTTCAGAAGGAGAAATTAGAGCTCTCTGCCAGGAGTGCTGGTCGTCCCAAGCCCTGGGGCCTGAGCCCCTGTCCTGAAGGACCTCCTCTCTTCATCTCACCCTCCAGGGGCTGCCAGGACACCTGCCCGACCCTCCCCAGTGGAGACCTGGGGGCTCAGAGCTCTGGGGATGCAGAGTGGCCTTCCAGGGTCAGCCTAGCAGAGAGATGGCACTGACCTCCAAGGGGGAGGAGCAGGGGGAGAGACAGGGAGCCCGTGGAGACGCCTGGGATGCCCTGAGGGCTGGCCTGGTTGCAGGTCCAGGCCCCAGGGTGAATGCAGGCTGAGCCCCATAGAGCGACATTTTCTCCATAGGGTCCCCAGGTTGCCAGGGCACGTAGTTGGAGGAAGACAGGGGCACCTTAGGTGCGGGCTGGGGGTGTGACCCAAGGTCTAGCTCTCCCGGGAGGGGAACGGAGGGCTCCGGATCCGGCCCTGCCAGCCCTAGGGGTTCCAGGGAAGCCGCCCACCGAGGCCGGGACGGGGCAGGTCGGGGGGTGCAGCGGGAGGGCAGCGAGGCCCTGGGCTGCGGGCGCTCCACCTGCCGGGTCCGCTCCATTCGTAGGGAAAGCACGAGAGAGGCGGAGAGGGGCCGGGCGGGCGGCGGCCGGAGGTCCCGCGGAAGGAAGCCCCGAGAGGAGGAGAGTGGCTCGGGCGCAGGGGGCCCTCGGGGGTCTGGAAGGGCGAGGGGACCCGGCTGCCGGCAAGACCTGGGGTCACCGCCGGGGTCCTGGAGCGGTGTCCGGGGCCGCGGGGCCGGGGAGCTGAGCGCGGCGCCCCGAGAACCCCCGCCACCCCCCACGAATCCAGGGCCGCGCACCGCGAACATCGCCGCCCCGCCGCGCCAGCCCGTCCGTCACCGGGAAACTGAGGCCGGCGCGGCGCGCGCGCGGGAGCATCTCCCATCCCGGGAGTCCCGGCGCCCGTCTGTGGCCGCAGAGGAGGGAGAGTCCCGGGCCCGCACCCCCGCCCAGGCCCCCGACGGTCCCCCGCCCCACTCACCACAGCGACATGGCGGCCCGGGCCGGAGCGGCGGAGGGGCGAGCAGCTCGCAGCTCTGGGCGCCGCGGCTCGGGCCGGCGGGACGGCGGGCGGGCGGGGACGGAGGCCGGGCCGCGCCCCCGCCGCGACTTTCCTCTTCCCGGCCGCGGGAGGAGGGGCCGGCAGGGGCGGTGGCCCAGGTGCCTTAACCCCTTCGGCACCCCGGGCCCGCCCCGCCGCCGCCTGGCGGGGACCACCTCATTTCTCCGAGACGGCCCCTAGGCTCCCCAAACGCGCCTAGCAGACAGTGTACGGCCGAGGTGGGGCTTCGGAGCCCGCGGGGGTCACCTCCAATCCCGGGGACGCCTGTTCCTGGCGGAGCCTCCTGGGGTGGGGGTGGAGGTCGCCGGCGCCTCTTGGACTTGTGCGAAACCTGAACACCCGGTCCCCTCCAAGACCCTGGGGCACCCCAAGGGCCGGCCATTTCCCTCTGGCCCCATTCGGACTTGTCTTTGGGGCCAGAGGCAGACAGGGGGCCCTTTTCTCCCTCTGCTACCTTCTGCCCCTGCACCTTTCCCGTGCCCAGGCAGACCCCTTTCCCAGCTGTTGGGCTACCTCGGGCCAGGAGCAAAGCCAGCCACTAGGGGAAGAGGCCGTATGAGGCTGGGCTCCATGTCAGGACTCGCCCAGGCTGTGGCTCTGGAAGCCTTTGTGCCCCCACCGTGTCCCCCTCTCCACCTCTGTGGTTCCTCTGACCTCTGAGGACTCCCTACCACCAGGGACGGCCTGTTGGCCCAGCCCTATCTCCTTTCTTTTTTCACCTATCACTCAAAACCCTTTTTGTCCTCAAGCCTTTATTAGTCTGCTTGTGCACACCAGGCCTAGCTGCTGTGGGGAGTGGGCCGACAGAGAACACGGAGGGGGCTTGGTCCAGCCAGGTGACTTCCGGAATCCTCCAGCAGGGAGAGCCATCGCTGGTCCTGCTGTTGCTCAGGTTGTTCTGGTATTGTTCCGGGTTGAGGTTTCGGTGCTTAGCATCCAACAGGACCTCCAAAATGCCCATAGAATTGAAACGGAAGCACGCTGTTGTCCAATCATAATAGCTAACGTCCACTGAGCAGCTACAATATGCCAAAGCTGGTTCTCCGCCCATGAACGACTGGTTCACTTAATCCTAGAGGCATGCACTATTATTCCCACCTTACAGGGGAAGAAATGGGGGTGCAGAGGGGAACTCCCAGCCAGCTCAGTGAACAGCTAGTGCAGAGTTAGTAAGCACATCCAGGAGGCCTGCATGGCCTGAAGGCTGGCTCTGAACCCTTCCTGCCTGGTCTGAAGGCTGGCTCTGAGCCCTTCCTCAACCTTTTTTCCCAGGGACAGCAGTGACAAGGAGGTACTTTCCTGCCCAGCACATAGGGAGGCTAGGAGTCCCCAGCTGGATCCTAAGCCCTCGAGGCCAGGGTGAGGAGCCCCTTCTGCCCTGTCCTTAAGGTTCAAGGGCCCTTGGAGGGGGAGGAGAAACTTAAGGTACCATAGAATGTTCTGGAATGTTGTAACTGCCAATTAGGGAATGTGAAGGGCCTTTCAGACAGAATTCCAGAGGAGTACCTTGGGGCTGATGCCCTTTGTAATGGCCCTCCAAAAGTTCGAGAGCAGGAGAGGGGCTGACCTGCAGCCCAAAGCCCCTGTTGGCCTGGCTGCCTGCCACTGAGGGCCACCCACAATTCCTACAGCTCCACGGCTCCCTTCATCCCAGTGTCGCCTTGGCTACCTGTTCCCACAGGGCACCAAGCATTTTGCTCCGCTGCCCAGGCTTCCGGGTTCCCCACTTCACCCTGCAAGTGTGGCCCTGGTTTCCCTGGCTCCACACAGGTGCCCTCCTGAGAGCTGCCTGCCTGGTTTCAGCACTGACCTCTCACCTGGTGCTGCGGGGTCTCCTCCTCCTGCTGAGGGGTGGACACAGCTGTCCCTGGGAAGGGGTTTTGAGCCCATGTTTGGGGATGGCAGGCATGGGGGTTGGGTCAGAGTCTTGCATTTCCTGGCTGTCACTGGGGGCAGGTGGCTTTTCCCCTTGAGACCTCAATTTCCTGCCAGCTCAGGGCCTTGTGAGATGACGCCAATGAAGCACAGACATAGGCGTCCTCTACGTAAAGAGCTTGGTGGAAGGCCGGCTACTGTTAGTGTTATCACTGATGTCCAGCCTACTCCACAAGGCCCCAGCAGCACAAGGACCCGAGGAGGTGGGAGCAGAGGGAGCTGCCCAAGGTCAGCGGAGTGTTTGCCAGAGGAATCTGGTCAGTTGAGACAAGCGGTTTGTCATCATGGAATCATTTGATCTGTGCCTAGGTTGAATTCAGAGAGGGGAAATGAATGACAATTAGATGCGAGTCTCTGATGGTGGGGTGGGAGTGGGGAGTGTGGAGCCGGGCCAGGCTCGGGTCAGCCTCCCCTGTTACTCCAATGTGCTCCCCTGTGGGGCAGCTGAGTCAGTCCCTATGGCAAGCACAGTGGTCCCCCCACCGCCAATCTAGCCAGTTCCACCTGCCCCAGCCAGAGGGCAGAGCCCCAGCAGATTCCTGTGGATTTACGCGAGGCCCCAAGGAAGGCAGGCCTGTCTGCAATGGGATCTGCCTTCCTGCTGTCCCCGACCCTGGCTGAAGGCAGAGTCCAGAGGTAGAGGGAAGTTCCAGAGCAGCAGATCCCAGGAGAAGAGGGTGGGCGAAGAAGAGCTGGCTGCATAGGCTGCAGGAGTCCCAAGCCAAGGTGGAGGTGTGTTCTGTGTCCTTGTCACAAGGCCACTCCGTGCACCTCAGGTTGCTCCCTTGGAGGGGGAAGCTCGTGAGCCGGGACGTTGGAGGACCCCAAGAAATGCCCTGTTCCCCAGTACATCTTTGGCCCCTCAGCCCATCCCCCCCTCCACCTCCACTTTCTTTTATATCCCACCCCTTCAACCTTCCAGAACAGGTTGGAATCCGACCCTGCTGGTGACCCCAGCACAGGCCTTTGCCCAGAGGTGAGGGCTGCAGAGACCTAAGGGTGGGAGTATCTGACTGGCCAGAAAACACACTGGGTCAGTGGCTTGACTGGACAAGGTGGGGGCCAACTTGGGTCAGAGGGACCCCCGAAGCAGAAGGTGAGGTGTCTTGCGTGCCTTGCAGAGGGGTGGCCATCGTGGGGCAAGAGCACGGAGCCCAGCAGGGGCCACGGTCAGGCAGCTGTGCTGGCTGTAATCGCCTCAGCGCTGCTGTGATTTTGTGGGCATGTGAGTTAATTTTAGTTGGTGTTTTTGAAAGACCTGAACAGCAGTCTACCCTCCAGGGGCAGCCACAGCCAGCACTTCAAATGTGGTTGTCTACTGTCACAGCAGAGGGTCTGTGCATGAGCACGGGAGGGTCAGAAATCATTGTTCTGTAGTAAAAAAAGTATTACTGAAGATGTGTGCCTGGGAAGAAGCACCACAAGTCCCCTCTGCTTGTGCCTGGACGAGCCCAGCCACCAGCAGGGCAGTGCCCTGGGTCTGGAACTTTCTCTGAGTGGTTCTGGTCCCCCACAGGTGATGCTCCGACTGGAGGTTAGCTAGTCATTGGTGAGCATGTCCTTGAATTCGCCCTGACAAAAGCTTTTGTGACGGGACAGAGTGGGACTTCCCGGAGCTCATGGGCAGAGGCGGGGTGTCTGTTTCTGTGCTTCGTGCTAACAGATGTTTCCAGTAGGGTAGCTGTTGGGTCTGAGAGTTGATTTCGTGTAACATGCCATCCGATGAGGAAGTGTGGGGTGAGACCTACGCTTTCTCAACTACCTCTGGTCCTTGAAGGCCACCAATATCCACTGCAGAGAACCCGACCCATCCTGCAGGCCAGTGCAGGAGGGACCTCAAGGCTGCTGAGTCAAGGGGGTCACTGCCCAGACAAGCACTGGGGGAGTGCCCCCAGGTAAACTGGTGTCCCCCAGAAATGGCTCCCGTGTGAAGCCAAGGCAGTGTCTGGATCGAGGGCAGAGGGAAGGGAAGTAGGTATGGAAAATGAAAAGGGAGAGCACATTTCTTCTGGGGACAGGTCTTCCTTTGAAGGGGTGGGAGGAGGAGGAGGCCAGGATGGAGCAAGCAGAGAGGTAGGAGGAGATGACCGTGTCTTCAAGGTGTGAGGTGGTCTGAAGTCTGGGAAGTCCCCTTGCCCAAGGGAAGACTGGGCTAGAAAGAAGCCCAGATCACAAGGCGTTCAGCTGAAACAGGAAAAAGTTTAAAGAGGCTGCATGCGGCTGGGCGCGGTGGCTCACGCCTGTAGTCCCAGTACTTTGGGAGGCCGAGGCAGGCAGATCTCTTGAGGTCAGGAGTTTGAGACCAGCCTGACCAACATGGTGAAACCCCGTTTCTACTAAAATACAAAAATTAGCTGGGCGTGGTGGCAGGTGCCTGTAATCCCAGCTACTTGGGAGGCTGAGGCAGGAGAATCACTTGAACCTGGGAGGCAGAGGTTGCAGTGAGCCGAGATTGTGCCATTGCACTCCAGCCTGGGCGGCAGAGTGAGACTCCGTCTTAAAAATAAAAATAAAAATAAAAAAGGCTGCAAGCAGGGCCCTCATAGAAGCAGCATGCCCCGAACCCTGAGGTGCCCTTCCATGGCCCAGTCCTGCCCAATAAAGCCCAGCCCACCAACCAGGAAGACACCTCGCCCTCCCCGAGGAGGTGCTTCTTACCAGTTCCAGAGCCCGCATGCAGAGATGCTGCCTAGGAGACTGTAATTCCCCAGAGATGCCCAGTGATTCTCACAGTGTAGGCAGGTTTGGGAACCACCGGCTTTGAGCCCTCCAATCCCTGCTCTCTTGGTTGGCCTTGAGCCAGGGCCAGAGGAGGGCCACTGCTTCACTGAACCTGGGCAGGAGGAGGACAGAATGGGGAAGCAGCAATGGAGGAGATTGGAGCCAGAAAGGAATGAGTTAAGGAAGTTAAACGTTCCCACTGAAATAGGTGGCAGTTGAAGAAGCAGAAGTGGGTTTAGGAGCTTGAGAAGAGTGGAAGAGGGTGTCCACAGCCTCTGTGCAGGATCTGAGAAGGTCAGGGAGGAACGATGAGGCATGTCGAGGGCCAGGCAAAGGTGCTCCCGGGAAACCCAGCTGTGCGGTTCCGGGTAGGTATTGCCCAGGGCTCCTCTGGTTGTGACAGACAACAGCCTGACCCAAGGTGGCTCCAGCCAGAGGGATTTGTTGG